TTTCACCCTTATTCCCCCCCAGGGTCAGCGGTCCAGGGTGCAATTCTCAAAGATGCCCAAATGTCCCTCAGCTGCCACCTACCACAGGAACTTCTCTGCTTCCACCAATGTGGGCAGTGCCCCCCCACACACACACCCAGTGGAAAAGATAAAAACATTCTTGCAGGAGACAGCTTGCCTCCAGGAAACATTTTTGGTGCACACATCTGTGAGGTCTAAGGCGCAGCTGTGGGGTACGTCATTCCCAGAACCCCCGGCTCTGAGTACAGCCAGCTGACACACATGTTAAGATGCAGTCACAATACGTGGAAACCCCAAATGGCACAGTGCACAGTGCAGTGCTTTTGTATGGCTAGTGAGGGATTTCTTTTATTATTTACATTGAAAATAGTTTAGTATAGCATTCAAGCTGTCTGCTATAGGAAACCACATATTGCAAATGCCTTATGCCTTATTTCATATACCATTCTTCTCCCCACCCCACAAAATAAATGTTAAATGAACATGAAGCGAAGCCAAATTGTTTGCCAGGCTGCAATGCCTCAGTCCTATTGTGCCCAAGACCCTGAGAACAGCTAGGGTCCCTGGAGCACCTACCCCTCAAATGCTGAGCCCTGTTTCTAGTGAAGATAGGCCATTTTGTTCCACAGTGAGTGACGCTGAGATGGGCCCTGGCTTCATCCTCTCCGGCCTGGGAGCATTGGCGGCACTCTATGAGCTGAAGTTGGAGAGCGTTTTCTTTTTTTTTCTTAATTTGTGGATTTTAATATTTATTTTTAAAAGCTTTATTGGGAGCCGGCCGAGTGGCTTGGTTAAGAGCTCGCTCAAGAGTGTGAGCTCTGAGAAACAGCGGTTTGATGCCCGGCCCGAGCTGAGCCACCGCTGAGCTGCCAAAAGGTGGCAGGATGGCTCAGCTGAAAAAAAAAAAAAAGCTTTATTAGGCTACAATTTACACCCCATACCAATTCACCCATTTAACATTCAGTGGTCTTTAGAATATTCACAGTTGTGCAACTATCACCACCATCTAGTTCTAGAACATTCTTGCCACCCCAAAAAGAATTCCCATACCCATTAGTAGTCACTCTCCATTTTCTCACCCTCAGCCTTAGGCAATGGCCAATTTACTTTCTGTCTCTATAGATTTTGCTGTTGTGAGCATTTCACATAAATAGAATCAGACAAGATGTGCTCTTTCATGTCTGGCTTCTTAGCATAGTGTTTTCAAGGTGGCAGTACTACATTCCTTTTTATGACTCAGTAATAAATAATATTCCATTGCATGGATATAGCACATTTTATTCATCCCTTTATCAATTGGTGGAGAAAAGCTGTTTGTGTAAAGATGGTTCTTTGCTTTCATTTCTAATTCCCCATCAGAAAGGTCATTCCTGAAGAAACCCTGATAGACAAAGGGCCCCTAAGGCCACCTTGGGCCTCCCTCCGCCTCAGGTAGGACTGATTTTTTTGGTACATCCCCAGGCAAGTCCTCCAGGTTGATTCTTGGGTTATTCTGAGAGCTGATACAGGGCAAATTTTCAAGTGGCAATTTCCTGAACCCAGGGATTGTCATTCCCAAGGGTCTGAAAGAATAGGAATGCCAAGTGTTGCCTTGGGGGCTTGAGGGCCTGGGCCTGACCTCAACCCCCTCCCAACCAAAGCCACCCGAGATAAAGGCACAATCTAAGTAAAAGAGTGTGCTCGTGGGGCGCCCAGTCAGCTCAGTTGGTTAGAGCACTCCATAACTAGATTGAAACATCTACTTGACTTGGAGCTGATGGGTCCTGGAAAAACACAATGTCACCTAACTAAAAAAAGAAAGAAAGAAAGAGTGTGTTTGCTGTGCAAACTCAACTCTGAGGCAAGTGTCAGCCCCGGAGCCTCCGCTGAGCTGATCTTTTTCTTTGCCTGAAGGAGTCTTCCAGCTTCCTCCTTGGTCCTCAGCTCTGCTTTCTGACCCCTAGAGCCTGGCGGCCAGAGTCCCTCAGATGGGGAGAGATGGATGGGAGCAACAGCAGTCGATATGCACTCACAGTGTGCTGGCTTAGTCATCAGCCAGTTGGAATCTGATCTTGTGTTCACCGTGAAATATTCAGTGGGAATAGGGTATAGCAGCAGTTTTCCACTTAACCTTCTCCATTTAGGCCTTCAGAGACCTCCCAGGTAGATTCTTGACTCTGGCCTCTGCCCCTCACTCGGTCTGTGTCTGGCCCTTTGTCCTCTGTGGGGAGGACTCCAGGAGCTGGCTCACCCCTGCTCCCCTCAGGCCCTTCCCTGCTCAGCTCATGGTTTCATCCTAGGACTGATGACATCTCTGCTCCCTTACGCCGGCAGTTTGGCCCCCTTTCTCTGCTCTGCCTTCAGTGGTGAGTCTGCCCCCACGGGAGGCCTCCGTCCTCTGGCTGTGCAGCTGCTCCAACCCTGAGTCCCACCGTTCAACCCTGGGACACAAACAGGACTCAGACACTGCCCTTCCTTGTCTCACAAGTGGAGGCTGAGCTAGACATGGATGCTTTCTAAGAGGAAGTGCCAACTCTGTGCCTGAGGTGGGTCCCAGGTACTTTTGTGTTGATGGACGCAAGTGGGAATGGGGTTGCATTTGAGCTGATCTTGAAAGATGTATTGAAGTCACCAGACAGCAGAGGAGGAGCAGAGCAGTCCCCACAGAGGGAACAGCCCAGGCAGACAGACATGGCATCTCCCACACACTGTAGACAGTCCTGAGGCCAGGAAGCCTGGTGGGAAGGGTGGGAGAGGCAGAGAAAGGTGGGCAGGGCCAGACCACAAGGGGCCTTTTGCTCCCTGCCAAGGGCTGGGCTGTTTCCTTTGGTGCTGAGAAGCCGTGGGGGAATTCTTAATGGGGAACAAACCAGGTCAATGTGCTGCCTAGAAAGTTGACTGGTAGACGTACGGGGTGGATTTTAAAGGGAAAATGGGAGAAGGGAGAATAGGTTGGAAGCAACTACCATAGGCTGTGCTGGGCAGGGTGGCTGCTCAGACACAGTCGCGGCCGGAGGGAAGGGGCAGGGCTGAGAGACGTTTAGGAGGCAAAAGGAACGAAGCTTCGTGACCAGCTGACGTGGAGTTCAGGGAGAAGGGACGGTGGGAGGAAGAAAAATCTAGACAGACCTTGAGCTTCAGACTGGATACTGGGGGATGGTGGACGCGCTAACTGAGAGGACTAGCGGAGAAAATGGAGATTTGGGGAGAGAGGCTCTCTCCCCATGCTGTGCGCCCTGGGTACACAGATAGAGGGGAGGGGCATCCAGTCGTCTTCTTCTGACCCTCACTCACCTCTACCTCCTAATCCTGGACAAGCTGTGAGAGATGTGTCTCAGGACGATGACAGTGGCTTCTAAGAAAGAAGTATCTAGGGGGGGACAGGACCCAAAGTGGCAATTAAGCATTTCTCCTGTGCTCCTTACAATGTCAGACCTCTTTCCACAGGTGGAAGCATTGTCTCTCTAAACCTCTGAATGAGTCTAGCTCTTAGGGGTATCCAGGGACTGGTCCTCATCTGCTTTCAGAAGGTTGCGTCTTTCTGACATTTCCATCTTTTCCATTTCAGCTTTTCTGTGCCATCCCCACTTTAGCCACTAGATGGAGCCAGACTCCAGCAGTTGGGAAAGAAGGCGTGGGGTGCCTTTTGCGGGGAGGTTAGGCTGCCACTGAAGGGCCTGCATCTTGAGGGGTGTCCGTTTCAGCTAATCCTAACTTGATTTAATTCTCCTAGGCTACATCCTTACTATGGATATATTGTTCTTATAAGTAGATTCTTTTTATATCTACATGTATGAAGAATATTCCTGAATATAAAGAATTCTCACAAACATTTTTCTTATTTCCCAGCCTCCCCTCTCGCTCTTCAGTCTTCAGCAAAAAGCAGCGGGGACTGGGGCAGAGACCAACTATACATTCCTTGAAATTCTGATATAAAAAATGAGAATTGGTCCAGTTAGATTAAATGGATGTTTTGGCCCATTGACAGGTCAGCAGACTGGCCAGAGGGGCAGCCGCGGGCACCGTGTCGGGGTGCCCCATGCCAGGGGCACCCTTGTGCCTGCAGCCATCACCTTCTGTCTGCTGCGCCTCCCCCAGGATGGCTCTGCTCACAGAGAGGGCTCATATGGCAGCGTGATCTGGCAGCAATGAGCAGTGCCTAGAGATCCAAAGGACAAGGACGGGCAAATTGGAACCCTGGGCATGGAAAGAAACTCCATATCCAGTACCTGAGTCTGAAAGTCGGGGGAAAGAGACTGATGCATTATAAGAAGGGGCGCAAGTCATCAGAGCTGGTGACAATCTCTGTCAAAGGAGCTGAAAATGAAGACTGACCCCTGTGTAGGTCCCAGGTCTGGCCTGAGTGGGTCCTGGTCACCCCTTGAGCCAGGCTCTGAAGGGACCAAGGGCAAATGAGGGTGGGCAGGAACCTCCCGCCTCAGAAACCACAGTCCTCTTGGAGGTTTATGATAAACAGGAGGATACAACGTACTTTCATCCTACATTTTGCATTTTTCTAAGCTAGGAATTGAGGTGAGAAGGAGCCATGGGGCCAGTAGCCTGGCACTTAGGGGATGCTCCCAGCCACTGGGTTCGAACACAGGCTCAGGGCCTCACCAGCCCATCCCAGAGATAGACGTGCTCACCCACATGTGGTGGCCTGGTGGCACCAAGTATTTGACACTGAACGAAAGGGGTTAAATTGCAGAAATGGGAGCTGCAGCCCACCCAGCTGTCACCAGTGGAGCCTTCCCACTCAGATACCAGCTCATGGCCACCTTCCTGCCTCCAACCATCAAGGCGTCTGAGCCGCACCCTCCTGGCCCAGGGCTGTCTGAGCTGCCTCTTACTCTTTATTCAGACACTGAATCCACTTTCTCCAAGAAATTAGCTGAGGGGAGGAACACCCACAGCGTCCCTCCCCGCACCTGAACACAGCCCATCCTGCCCCCAGGCCCCACGTGGACATAGAGGGAACACCACAGCCACTTGCCCCTGGTTCAAGCTTTTATTGTGCAACCAGCAGGCCGGTATACACAGCTTCCGGCATCACCATGCTATTCCGGGTGAGCCTGGGGCAGGGTCCGGATGTGAGGTGCTGACTGGAGCTGGTGTTTTATGGAGGCTGGCGACACAGCTCCCAGACAAACCGCTGTGAACTTCAGAAACCCTTGTGTTCTAAATAAGACATCTTATCCGGGTGTGGGGTCTGCAGCCTGGCTGTGGTCCCTGGTGGGAGTTGCCTCCCTGTGTCTGAAATCAATGCCCCTGCCTGCTGCCTCCCCTTCCTCCTAGCCCCGACCTGGAGCTGGGCGGAGGCCTGTCCTCCTCAAGGTCATAGACCTGCTCTCAGGGGCTGATCCTTGGAAAGGAGCTGTAACTCCCTAATTGCCTCCTAAAATGTCAACAGCTGATTAGATTGAATCCTATCATTTGCCTTTATGGGGAAGCAGTGGGAATTGGGGGCTTCCCTGGTTAACTGGTAAAGTGTGAGAGGAGGGGCCCTGGAGGCCCTGCAATTCTGGTCTAGTGAGCAGGTTGCTGTCTGAAAGCCAACGACCTCCCTGGCTCCTCACACATGCCACGAGGTCATTGTCCGCTACCCTCTGGGAAGGGCGACCTCGGGCCTGTAGCCAAAAAATAAGGAACGGGTCGATCAAAGGAAAGTGAGCAACTCCAAGGCTGATCCTCCGAGGCCTCACAAAAGGGCCTGAGGCTCAGGCCAGGGCCTGTGGCTCCAAGGAGTGCACCCCGGAGGTGGGGGGGGTTCTGCTCCAGGCTTCAGATTCGGCAGAAGAGCACGAGCTGGGTGAGAGAGAGGAGGGGCCCAGGGAGAGGGACAGGTCACCTCTGAGGAGAGGAAGTGGGGTGAGGTGGGGACAACGGAAAAGAATACCCTTCCTGTTACTTACAGCCCCTCGGGCAGCCTAAGCCGGGAAGAGAACCAGGAAGACTACCTCCAGGACCACAGCCACAGCTGGGACACCCTCAGGCCAGCCTGGTGAACCATGTCGGCTGGTGGTGTATATCTGCATGTGTGCGCATGTGTATGCTTCGAAGGAGGGATCAGGTAGGAGATAGGGGGAGTGGAGACAGGGGCAGCTGGGCGCGGAGGGGAGAGCTGGGCTGCATGGCAGAAATAAAATAAACGTCGGTAAGAGACCACCCCAGGCTGTGCTCAGGAAGAGGCCCAGTGGGTATCCTGAGACCAGACAAGCTCCTAAAAGTTGATGTTCTTCAAGTCCGTGGAGCAGCGATACCTGCCATCCAGGCACCTGGAGCACAGCAGGTTAGGCAGGCAGGGACAGGAGTGATGCTGGCGTTTTCTGAAGAAGGGGATCTGGGGAGAGAGGAGAAGACGGATGACATCTTCACCAAAGGAAGACAGGCCTCATGGCACAAGCCCCTGGGCAGCCCAGCCCTGGGCAAAGTCTCCTCTCCCCCGCCCCAGCACAAGAGTAACAGCTATTCTAGCAGAGAAAACTGAAGCATAGAGTGGCTAAGCAACAGGTCAAGATCACACAGCTAATTTGTGGAGGAGTCAGGATTCGAACCCAAGCAATCTGGCTCTCGAGACTCTATGATCAGCCTCAACACAATACTGTCTACCCCCAACCCTGAAGTTCCAGAAGCCCCGACCCTGCCTACCCGTTGCTGACCCAGCACACACGTGCACGCACACACTCATACACATGTTCCTTGATTGACTGCCACTAATAACTCAACTGTTATGTGCACAACACTGCGTTGGGTGCCAGGGAAGCAGGCTGGACAGGACAGACACTCTCTGCCTTGTGACTCACACCCAGAGGAGAGCTGAACCTTGGAGGTTAGGAGCATAGGTCGTGTCAGACTGCGTGGGTTCAAATCCCAGGCTTGCCACTTCCCAGCTGTGCGACAATTGGCAAGTTATTTAGCCTCTCTGTGCCTCAACTTTATTATCTGTAAAATGGGTTAATAATAGTGCCTACTACATATGGTTGTATAAAGGTTTAAACTTGCAAAAAAGCACTTAATCCAAAGAACGGGGCCGGTCCCAGCTCTGTCTCACTGGCTGTGTACCTCAAGCAAGTCTGTGCAGTACCTTGTGGCTGCCGGGGTGACACTCGTCTCCCTCTCGCCCCAGCGGGGTGCACATCCGAAGACCACGCAGCCACAGGCTGATGGCACAGCAGGTGCCTGCCCCACACTGGACATCCCGCTCACAGGCCTGCAGGGGAGACAAAGGGGCCATTAGTGCCCACAGGTTCCACCCAAGAGAAACCAGAACTGAAAAGACATCCAAAAGCCCTTGGGGGGGGGAGGCTGGAAGCAGCAACCCCTCACCTCCAGTGTCACAGGACACTTCGGGCTGTGCGTTAATTGCCTTGCTCCCCTCATGGCAGGGGGCTCAGGGATCATCAAGGCATCAGAGGAACCCCCGTTACATACGCTCCTTTGAGGTCACTTGGTCGGGAGGCAGTCCTCCTCTTCTGACAAATCTAGAGGTTAGGAGACATAGCTTTTCTGGTGCCAGTAGATGCTCAGTGGATGCAGGTGAAATTGAATTAATTCAAATTACTAGAAGGGAGAGGGGTCTCGATGGTCCAAGCCCCCAGGTGGTCAGCGCTAAGTTTCCTTGGACCAGGATTCTCCCGCTTGATCTGGCAGTGCCCGGGGTTGGTGCTGCCCCTCCCCACACACCCTCACCAGAAGCCCAGCCTCATCTGAGGTGCCAGCACCAGGTGTGAACAGGTGTGTCCCCGCCTCCACCAGCTTCTCTGCAGGCCTGCCTGATCTTGAGAGGAATGGACCTCTCTGAGTTGGGATCCCAGAACAGGTGCTGAGTGGACCTGCCTGCCTTCTGGAAGGTGCCATTTGTAAAGAAAACCACAAGCGCCCACTTACAATAGAGGACTGAATTGGGGAAAACAGAACTCTGAACTCTCCAGACTCAAGTGGGACCCCGATGGAGAGGCATTCAGCCGTTCCCTTCCAGAGAAGCTTGGCGGCTCTTCAGGGCTGAAGTTCACAGTTGGGTTTTGATTCGCTCTTCTTCTCCAACAAAAGGGCATGGAGCACCCTCTGCCACCTGGGTGGGTGTGGAGAGCCTGGAAGCTTCCGACCTGCTCCGCCCCAGGAGGAAAGTGGGGGATACAGAGCTGCTTGTCACCCAGAGGAACTGCAGGGGGCAGACACCTGGCCATGCTGCTCTCCAGCCCACTGAAGGCAAGTCTCACATGCTAACCGGCTTCTGAAAGCCCAGGGTGAGGGCCAAATAGACTCTACCTGACCCTCCTCCTGCAAAGGTGGGCGCTACTGTCCTACTCTGGGAAGAGGGACGGTGGCATCCCAGGGAGCAGGAAGTGTGGAGATGGTAGAACTAGGCTGCTTCCTGAGGTCAGACAGGGGCAGCAGCAAATGGAGAGTGGAGGTCCCAACTTGCCTTCAGCGCCACGTTCTAACCACTTGTCAGCCTATCACATCTGTCATGCATTTCCTCCTACCCTAACTTTCTCTCACTGTGCTTTTCAAAGGGTCTACTTGAAGGGTTTACTAGGAAGACATTTTCCCACCTCTTTCAGATCTGCCTCCTGCTGCCAGTCAGTCAGATGTGTGAGCTCACACAGTAAGGTGACCCAGGCATCACCGTCAACCTGATGCCTGCCCCCCTCGGTGGAGTGACTGTGGCTTCTCTCCTTGGACTTACCCTCCCCGATCTTCAAGCTACACAGTAGGAGGACAGCCTTAAGGGTTTACACTCATTAGGTATAATTCTGCCCCCGCAATTTTATTTATGCTCTAGGTTTCAAAAGCATTGGCTTGCCTTTCATATTTGTTCTTTGAAACTCAGTCTTTGTCCCTTAAAAAGGAGAAGAAAGGAGTTTTCTTTTCTGTGAACATTTAAACTGATCCGATTCCAAGAATTGTTTGGCATTTCTCTACATTTTCATTCTCTAGGGGAAAACTCGGAGGAGGTTGACATAAAAGTGAATTTCCCTCTTTTGTTTTGTTTTGTTTTGTTTTCTAGTGGCTTTGACCTGGAAATCTCTCAGGTAAACTATTATTTTCTGTTGTAATAAGAGTGGTCCCACAACCGTAACACAACATGTGCCCCATTTGAGGGTGGCTCCAGGTAAAGCCAACTTCTGAGAAAGAACCACAACCTAAGTGTTTTGAATACTAAAGTGTGCAGAGCCCGTGTGTCAGAGCCTCTACTGTGAGACTAGTGCTTTGGCGTACACTCAGTCAAATGTTGGTGTCGCCCATATTCCTATCAGAAGTGAGCACAAAGTGAAAACACATAAACAGTAAGGGAAAGAAAGCTTTTCAAGACAGCCTTTCTTAAGAGTAAAGAAAGCAGAGGTTAACCATACCCAATAGACATTAATAAGGTCTTTAATTAAATCAACATGCTGTGTAAATTAAACTTGACACATAGACCAGACTATATATGAAAACCCAAATTTACACAAAAGATAAATTAGAAAATGCTAACCCACTTTATAAAGGATTTCTTTGTTACGCAATAGAAATCGTCATTTCACCAGAGATCTAAGCTTCCAATGTTTCAATGCCCTCCTAATGCATTTCAAAACAGGATTTGATTTACACACAGCTTCTCAAAAGCAGACCCTGTTTAGGAGAGTGAGGTCTAACTAATGTGAAAATCATGTGAAATGCCTCTGAACTGCTGTCTGATGGCTAACTCCCCCTGCCCTTTGGTGTGTCCCCCGTCTGGTTCCTGGCTTGCTCCCATGCAGACCCTAACATCCTCCTGAAACCCAAGGCACAAGGAAATGCTAGACGACTTACCCCCGTGATCACGGCACAGTCGGACACAGTCACCAGGAGGAGTATGATTGAGACTTGCGTGGCACCTCTCATGGTCACTTGGAGGACAGGCAAACACTGTCCACTCGGCTGCCTCTCGCTTCCTCCTGTTTGCTCAGCCTCGTGCCGCCAGCCAGGAGGGCCAGGCTCTCCAGCCCCCTCCCTCCTCCCAGATTTATATGGTCCGATCCAGGCTGCCTGTGGATGCCTCTCTCCTTGCTTCCCTTCCCCATCACCAGCGTTTTTCAGATTATCTCAGACACGAAGATGAGACCTGAATCCCTAATGACATCAAATCACCATCAAAACCGATAACAATGAATATATCGGGGGCTTTGACAGTTGCTCTAACTCCCCCAAGAACGCACTGATCCGGGCAGTTACATACCTCACAACTCGTTGTCCTCTCTTCCTCTGGGGCATCCTCGGTCTGCTTGGGGCAGGGGAAGGACTTCAGTAATGAATTAAGGGATTTACAACGTCACCATTGATCCTGCCCAACACCAAACCACACAACGTACAGGATCACCATTCCCTCGCACTCGAGCCAACAAGAATTATCTGGACAGTTACCTTCAACTCAGCCCAGAACAGGTGACTGAGAAGACACAAGTGGGTAAGGCGGTGTCCCTGGTTCTCTAGAAGGTGAAAATTCCAATGGGGAGACATGAAACAGAAAACAAGGCCAGGCTTGTGCAGTGGGTGTTCCTGAGACACGCGCATAAGAAATTACTCTCTAACAGGCTCAAGATGAAGACCAAGTGTCACTTGGTACAAGAACCGAATGGCAGAAGGTGAGCCAGCATACAGGTCTCTGCAGAGAAGTGTGTTTGAGCTGGGGTGCAGCTGTTTTTTGGGCAAGCATGAGAATGAGTGAACAAACACCATGGGCTCAGATGCCAGTCTTGAGGGAAGTGGACTCTGGTCATGGGCCCTCCTACTGGGAGGGGAAGCCCCTGGTCCCAACTCTCCTTATGCCAGATAACCCAGAGAGCTCCCGGGACCCGGGACAGACCCAACTTCTCTCCACAGTGACAAGGATCAAGATTTCCCATCATACTTTCCGCATTATGTTAATAGGTGCTACACACACAGATACATACATAAAGAGTTCTGTAGTCAAAGCTTTGGGAAACATTGATAACACAAGTTCAGCCAGCTTTTCTACTGCAGGACTTTTCAGGGCCTTTCATATACTAATAGGCATTTGAAACACCAAGTGGAGAAATGCAATTTGTAGTTATCTCCCAAACAGTTTCACCCACAGAATGTTTCTTTCTTAGAGTGTCTCAGGGGGAGAGTGTTCCCACACAGAAACGATGATTTGTGAGTGCAGAGAGAGCTGAACTAGCACAGTGGCTATGAACCAGACCCCAGAGGCAGGCATTTTGACGTGAGATCCCAGATGGGTCACTAGTTCATGACCCTGTTAATCTCTCCCAGCCTCAGTTTCCTCATCTATAACATGGGAATAACATTAGCACTTACATTGTGGGGTTTTGTAAGTATCTGCCCATGTATTTATTCACTGGGTATATATTTATTTGTGACTACCGTATCGCAGGCACCATTCTTGATCCCGGAAATAGAGCAGCGAACAAAACAAGGTCCGTGCCTTCATGTAACTTTGATTCTAGTCAGAGAGACAGGCAATAGATCAAGAAATTGACTCATAATAAAATGGCTGGGTGTGCTGAGTGCTATTAAAAATGAAGGCAGCTGACAACAGAGCGTGACAGGTGTCCTTTTAGAGGGGGCGAGGGTCTCTCTGAGGAGACACTGATAAAGTGAAGGAGTGAGCTGAGCAGAGCCTGGGGGAAGAACAGGTGCAAAGGCCCAGTGGCCCGAGCAGCCAGGAGTCGGGTGAGCAGGGGAGGGGAGGGATAGGGGGTGTGGTGGGAGCAGGAGCCAGGCGCCACGCCCTGCCAGCCTTATAGGACACGGTGGAGGCCTGACTGCAAGTGCCACAGGAGGCCTTGGAGGGTCTGGGGCAGGGGAGAGGCAGGGTGTGATTTACACTTTGAAAGGGTCTCTGGCTGCACGTAGAAAATTAAGTGACATGCTACATGTGGAGCGCTTAACACAATCTCTGTCACATAATAGTGTTTGCTAATTACTAGCAATTTTTATAGAAAAGCAAAACAAACAAAAAAGACGAGTCTGTCCGCCTTAATATAAAATTCTCCTGTGAAGTGAGAATCAAAATAATGTGTCTGTACAGCCCACCTGAACACTATGGCAGACCCAGGCACACACCAGGAGAACCAAAGAGCACCTCCGCCTGTCAGAAACCTAAGTGACCGAGGGAGAAGGCGGTGCCATGGGGGTCATCGGAGGAACTCACAGGAGCGGTCCTGTAGGTGCCCTGCATGGACGGCCCCACCTCACTCAGGTTGCCTTCCAAAAAGACACAATGTTAGCTGACGGCTGGTTCTCAGGCTGGCACCCCCACTCCTTCCCCACCTCCCATTGTCATCCCTCCCCTGTCAGTGTCTCCCCACAACACACAAAACGAATTATCCCAAACAATGGCGTGAAGAATGGGCGCAAGAAAAACCGTTGCAAACCAAGCCAATAACACTGATTGAAAACATTTTCTTTCTCTTAAACGCTGGTGCTCGAGGACATATCAGTCGAATTAGAGGAAGGCAAGGGATAGATGGCGGCTTGGTGGAAATTCCAGAAGAGACTTTGGGGAGCTCCAGGGCTTCTTTACCCAAAAACTCAATTAAGCATACGTTCACCGAGTGCCTTCCACATGCCAGGACCAGGAGCTCACGGCTAGTGGGTCGAATTTCTCTCTAGACTGAGAGCCCTCCTCTCCCTGTGTGCAGGTGGGTTTCAGTGGTATTCTGGACACATTTGGGCCAGATTAGGGTTACTTCTTGGCTGACAGATGCAGTGCAGAAAAGGGGAGTAAGAAGGAAAGGAAGGCCCTGGACCAAGCAGGCAGGAACCAGAGGAGAGAAGGAAAGGAGGCCGGAGGCGAAGTGAGTGGTGAAAAGTGGGACAAAATGGTGACAAACCCTGACAATGAACTTGCTTCCCTGGAGGGAGAAGAAAGCTGGAGAGGAGGTGTGCTGGGCAAAGGGCCTAACCCCTACTTCTCTGCTTTAGTTTATGCCAGTGTCACCATTTTCCAGGACTGTCACTCTAAAGTGTGTGTGTGTGTGTGTGTGTGTGTGTGTGTGTGTGTGTGTGTGTGTGTGTGTGTGTGTGTTGAGCAAGGACCACTCTCACGGGCATAGGGCAAACCCTGGCATAGAGGTCCAGGCCAGGTCAGCCCTGCCCTGGCATAGTCTCCTGAGATCCTTCACCCCCATCTGTATCAATCACCCTTTTGGTAGAATAAGTTAGACTCTAAGAGAGTCCGAGCCCCCCTTCCGTTCCACCATGAGGTCATTGTTCTGTGAACTAGAAAGGGGGTGCCTGTCCAAAGTCCTCCCTGTCCTACCTAAGTGTGACAAAGTGTGACCACTTTATTAGTGGTTCCTTGCTAATGATGAAATGAAAGTTGACTCTGACTCACTTAAGAAAGATATGAAGAAACAAAGAAATGATCAAACAATGGAAACCCAAGCATCCAGACAAGGGGTTCATAACCTGGGGCCACAGCTCCCCCAAGGAGTCATGAACAGAATTCAGAAGATCCATGATCCTGGGTAGAGAAAAGAATTGCATCTTCATTCTCACTAACTTTTATCTGGAGTGTAACATTTTCTTCTCTAACTGTAGGCCACAAACACAGAAGTATTCATAGTACCTGTGTCCTTGTCACCAAGAGAATTTGCAGATGTTTTAATATCATATTACTGTTGTTGCAAAGAGCTCAAAACATTGCAGCTCATCACTGCAATGAAATAATGGTCGTTATTAGGCCCACTGCTAAGCTGGGTTACTTGATGTGTTAATAAAGAAGCAGCTATGTTACCATGTCATAAATTTGTTTGTTTTTTTGTTTGTTTTTTTAAAGATTTTATTGGGGAATTGGGGGAGGGGAACAGTGTTGGGAAATTGGGGAAGGGGACCAGTGTTGGAGAATTGGGGAAGGGGAACAGACAAGTTGTTGTCCTTCAATCTTCGTTGTGCAGGGCGCCAGTCACCATCTGGCTTCCGGTTGGCAGCTCGTGGCCTCTAAGCTCAAGATGCTATGTTCAACCTTAGTTGCGGGTGGGCGCAGCCACCATCCCATGCGGGAGTCAAACCAGCAGCCTTGTTGTTAAGAGCGCACGCCTTATCTACTGAGCCATCTGGGCAGCAGCTCAGCTCAACAGGCCGAGTTCAGTCTTAGTTGCAGGTGGGCATAGCCCACCATGGAACAGGCAGTCTTGTTGTTACACCAGCTGAGCCATCCTGCTACCTGTTGGCAGCTCAGTGACAGCTCAGCTCGGGTGCAGCATCACTGGCCCATGTGGGAATCGAACCGGTGGCCCTGTTGCTCAGAGTTCATGCTGTTAAGCCAACTTTTAACCAACTGAGCCACTCAGCCGGCCCAGAAATTTGTTTTTAATACAAAGTTCAATTACTGTGTTTCAGCATAATTGATTTCCTTTGTAATCGTCCATATTTTGTTTTATGCATTTGCAAACATTATTCTGGGCAGGAGTCGTGGGCTTCAAAGGGGTGCCTGGTACAAACAGAGCTAAAAACTCCTAAAGCAGAGTGAAGAAACTTAGAGAAAAGACTCGGTTTAGTGAGAGGTAGGCTCATAAGCTCAAGCTAGCCCACAGACAGAACCTTAAACTGGACACATTTAAGGGGAAAAAAATTGTCAAAAAGAACAAGATAGAGAAAGAGGAAGAGGTAGAGGAGGAAGCAGGGGAAGTGGAAGCAGCAGCAGCCAATGAGAACAGATGAGCGACTGCAGTCTCCGGGGTCAGATGGGACAGCAGGACTGAGAGAGTAGGGACTATATCCACACTGAGGGTCACTGCAAGAACTGCTCCTCATCCCGATCCAGGTAGACTCCATCCCAGGCCCAACGTCTCCCTAACCCACATACATACATACACCCCATCTGCCCATTGGGTTTAAAAAAGAAAGGACCGGACTCCCAACAGTCCTCAAAACTTGAGCCCCTATCTCAACTTACTTGAATCCCAGCTGTCTAAGGGGGTCTTCCCAATGTTTGCAAGACCTCTTTCTTTGGCAAGTCAGAGATGTAATTAGAGAGAAGACACTTTGCAATAGTATTAGGGACTATCAAGGACCTAAGAATAAACACCGTCAGCAGCCTGGACCTGATGACCCGTGGTCATCCCGACGCCGTCCCTGTCGCAAGCTCTGTGCTCACAGCAGCTCCTTTCACTCAGCTGGGAACATGGCCCTGCTTTTCTCCTTTATCTTGCTCATTATTCCTCTCCCTCCTACGCAGTAAGTGTCTAGAAAGATATAACCCTTTCCTCTTCTCCTGTTCTCCCCTCAGCCGACTCC